GTGCTGCCCACCTCCTCCCCAGAAAGCACAGCGATGAAGGGGAGGGTCTGCTCTCTCGGGGAGGCCCCCAGGCCAGGCTACACGGGATCTGATAAAAGTGCAACAACACAGCAATTCCAGGAGGGAGGGGCAGACGCAGGCCCTTTATTCCCCGTCTGTGTTCCTGGGGCCAAGTTCTCCCGCTGTCCGCGTGATCCCCACCCACAGGACAGGGTGGCTCCACGGTGAGAGGAGGGCCTTGCAGGTGGGGCCCTGGGGCGGATACAGGGAGACCGTCAATGTGGAGAGAGGACGGGCTTCTCTGGCTCTCCCGAGCTGCTGTTTGTGGAGGCACATGCGGCTGGGGACCCTGCAAGGGGAGTCCCCAAGGAAAGGGCATGATGCAGGCACCTGCAGGAGCCGTGTCTCTCAGAATCGGGGCCCTGGCCTTGCCTTGGTCAGAGCCAGGACAAGGAGGGCCCATGACGACTCTTGGCTGGTGTCTTTAGGTCCCATCTGGGACTTTGCTGAGGTGCCCAGTAACCACAAGGTGGAGGAACTTCTGTTTAGCTCTCGACGTTCCTCCAGATCTCGAACCAAACCCACATATGCCACATCAGCCCCTGCATGTCAGCATGGTACAAAACCCACTGTGGAGACCGCTGTGCACCCCATCCTGGACCTCAAGGCTCCCTGCCGTCCCACTGGCCCCTGGTGGCTTGGCAGCCCAGTGACCAGAGCTGCCGTCCAGGGAGGCCTCTAGCCAGAGTGAGCCGTCCCTGCCTTTAGGGCCCGGCCTCTGGGGCTCTGTCTGGGGCAGTTATCACACTGACTGGTTTTAATCAGTGTCATTTGACAACAGTCACTTTAACAGATACCATCCCGGGGCCTATGTGAGGTGGGTGTCGGGAGCTGGACCCATGGGGCTCTCCCCACATCCCCCTGCAGACACCTGCTCTGGTATAAAATGGGTACAGGTTCCACCATGGGATGCGTTTAGACTCTGTAGCAACTCATCTATGCGACTAGCTAGATCCTGGGCATCTCTCCAGCTAGGGTTTACAGAACAGCGGGTCTCATGGGGGTGGGTGGGGGGATCGTCCCCAGGGGCAAGTGTAGACACAGTTCGGTTTGCTACGGCAGGGGGAGGGAGGCATCTGGGGAGAGAGCAGGGACGCTGCCAGGCATCCTACAGTGCAAGATGGTCCTCCACAAGAAAGAACTACCCAGCCGAGACGTCGCCTGCGCCATGGTGGAGACACCTGGTGGCAGCTTAACTCATTTATTTCTATTTCTATATTTTTAAAGATGTATTTACTTATTTATTTGAGAGAGAGGGAGATTCCAGGTCTTTGCTAAACAGAAAGATTACCAGCAAGCATTTTTTATACATGTAACTTACATGCTGGATAGACTTCTAGAAGTAAAATTTCTTGGTAGAGGGTTGTGTACAGTTTAAAATATTGATGGGTTTTGCCAAAGTGTTAAAATGTTGCACCACCCGCTGTCTTGACGGCAACGATGGCGGGGAATAGGAGGGCCCGCGCCTTCCGTTCGGCTATGTGGTGTTTGCCACCGCGTGGGCAGAAACATGGCGCCTTGTTTCATTGTTCTCCAGCTCCCCATGCAGCCCGCGCTGTGTGGGGCACCTGCTCCCGCCCTGATGGAGCCACCTCGTCACCGACCTCGCGTCCCTACGCTGGGCACGTGCGCCAGTGCCCGTGACAATGAGGGATGAAAACCCGCGAGTGGACAAGGACGATTCAGCAGCTGTGTGACCTGTGGGAGGTCTACACGACAACTCATTTGTAGAAGCGCCACTGAAAAGCAACTAGGGGAAACCCTTTGTAAAGAATTGTTCTGAAAATGGATTAGTACTTAGTTAACATTCATGTAAATCTTGATATTAATATATGTTGCGATTTATTAATTTAAGAGGGATTAAATAAGAAGCAGCTTTCAGCTCTTCTGTCCTTAGTTTATGGGGTTCTAAAAGGGAAGTGAAATGAGTAGGAAAAAGTGTTACCATTCTGTGTGTAAACACCGACTTTCAGAAAACAGCTTACAAGACTTGGCCAGCGACTGTGTTTTGGAGAACCTTATCGCAGGGACACGGGAGAATATTTGCACCCCTGTTTCAGGCCCTTCGCTTTCAGTGAACTTGGACAAACGTGTAGCCAGACAAGAGTGGAGCGGGGTGCGCAGGCAGCCCCTGCGGTCTGCGGGGTGCGTGGGGCTCTTACCTAGTCGGTTGCACGGGTTCCGTTTGAAGAGGGCTCTCAGCAGACTCTGGGCTTCCATGCTGAGGAACTGTGGCATGCCCAGCTTGGCTCTGCAAAACAGCGTTGTAGTTTGGGACAAGAAGGATGACCAGAGTTTTCTCCAGCACTTTGGGACCCTGCTCGGTCAGCATCAACAGACAGACCAAATCAACGTGACCCAGAGCAGCAGTGCCCAAACTGTTTGGTCTTAGGGCTCTTTGGCACTTTAGAAGTCATTGAGGGCAGCAACCTACATTGTTTATATGGGTTCTACGGGAGAAATTTTTATAATAGCTATTTAATAATTCACTTACAAATAACACAAACATTAAAAATAAACAATAAAATTCCCATGAACAGAAGTAACATTTTTAATGGAACTGAATTATGTTTTCCAAAATAACAACAAAGGCTTTGGCTAGAAGAGTGCTATTGTTTACATTTTGGGAGTCTCTTCTGGGTTAGATGAGAGACAGCCAGATACCTTTTTTTTTTTTTTTTAAGATTGATTTATTTATTTGAGTGAGAGAGAGAGAGAGAGGGAACATGCATGTGCACGGGGGACAGAGAGGGGCAGAGGGAGAGGGAGAGAGAAACTTTAGCAGATTCGGCACTGAGTGCAGAGCCCGGTGCAGGACTTAAGCCCAGGACCCTGAGATCATGACCTGAGCCAAAACCAGAGAGTCCACCATTCAACCAACTGAGCCACCCAGGCGCCCCGACAGCCAGATCCTCTTATCTTGCCTCTATGTTCAATATGTTGCCATATTATGAAGAAAATCTGGGACTTCACAGAATAGAACAAATAATCCTAAAATTTGTGTGGAACCACAAAAGACCTCACATTGCCAAAACAATCTTTTAAAAGAAGAACAAAGCTGGAGACATCACAGTTCCAGATTTCAAGTTATATTACAAAGCAGTAGTGATCAAGACAGGATGGCACGGGCACAAAAATAGACTCATAGATCAGTGGAACAGAAAACCCAGAAGTAAACCCCCAATTACATGGTCAATTAATCTTCGACAAAGCAGGAAAGAATATCCAATAGGAAAAAGACAGTCTCTTCAACAAATGGTGTGGGGAAAACTGGACAGCACCATGCAGAAGAATGAAACTTGACCATTTTCTTATACCATACACAAAAATAAACTCAAAATGGATGAAAGACCTAAATGTAAGACCTGAAACCATAAAAATCCTTGAAGAGAATACAGGCAGTAAGGTCTGACATCGGCCCTAGCAACGTTTTTCTAGATGTGTCTCCTAAGGCAAGGGAAATAAAAGCAAAAATAAACTATTGGGACTACCTCAAAATAAAAATCTTCTGCACAGTGAAGGAGAGAATCAACAAAGCTAAAAGGCAAACTACTGAATGGGAGAAGACATCTTTAATTGACATAGCTGATAAAGGGTTAGTATCCAAAATATATAAAGAACAGATACAACTCAACATCCCTCTAAACAAATAATCCAATTTAAAAAATGGGCAGAAGATATGAACAGACATTTCTCCAAAGAAGAAACCCAGATGGTGGACAGACACATGAAAAGATGCTCAACATCACTCATCATCAGGGAAATGAAATCAAAACTGCAATGAGATGTCACCTCACACCTGTCAGAAAGACTAAAACCCAAAACATAAGAAACAACAAGTGTTGGCAAGGATGTGGAGAATGTGGAGAAAAGGGAACCCTCTTCCACTGTTGGTGGGAATGCAAACTGGTCCAGCCACTTTAGAAAACAGTATGGAGGTTCCTCAGAAAGTTAAAAATAGAACTGCCCTATGATCCAACAATGACACTACTAGGTATCTACCCAAAGAATACAAAAACACTAATCCAAAGGGATGTATGTACCCCTATGTTTACAGTGGCATTATCTATAGTAGCCAAACTATGGAAGCAGCCCAAGTGTCCATTGATTGATGAATGGATATAGAAGATGTGGTCTATATATACGACGGAATATTACTTAGCCATAAAAAAGAATGAAATCTTGCCATTGGCAAAGACTTGGATGGTGCTAGAGAGTATTATGCTGAGTGAGATAAGTCAGTCAGAGAAAGATAAATACTATATGATTTCACTTGTATGTAGAATTTAAGAAATGAAACAAATGAGCAAAGAAAAAGAGAGAGAGAGAGAGAGAGACAAACCAAGAAACAGACTCTTAACTATAGAGGACAAACTGATGGTTACCAGAGGGGAGGTGGGTGGGGGCATGGGGGAAATAGGTGAAGGGGATTAAAGAGGTACTTACCAGGATGAAAAATAAATAAAATAAAATCCAGTAATCTAACTTATCTAAATAACTGCAAAAAAAAAAAAATCAGGGAAAGGAGGAGCTTGCAAGGCCCCAGGAAGGTCTCAGACCCCCAGGGGTCCTCAGATCATGCTTTAGGATCCATCGGACCACAGTTTTGTGCTGCCCATTCAGAAGTCCACACCTAGGATTAGCTGGAGGGAATTATTCTAGTTTTAGAAAAAGTAAAGATCTTGTTCCCCCTTAAAATTAAGAGAAACAGAGACAACCAACACAAAATAACAGACTGCAGCCACATATGTCAGCCACAATGAAGATCACCTGATGCCGGAAGACACTGCTCAAATCCTCTCTATGGGTTTCCTCCACTAATTTCTATCCTTCCATTTATACAATGGGGTAACCTACAAAAACTTAAGCTTTTTAGGTTCCTCTCACTTTCATAAAAGTCCATCTGCAGTGTTGAGAGAGCTGGTCATGAGCACCAGCAGCTTTATGGCTTGTCCTTCAGGGGCAGGAGTCCATGTCCTCGCACAGTAGGGGGACCTCGATTTGGAGTTGGGGTCTACCTGTTCCCCAGCCGCTGCCCTACTCCCATCCACATTCCTCCCAGATCTCTCCCTTCTGACATCATGCTTAGATGGAGCCTGCTCACATGTAAGGTGTTATAGCAAGACCAGCACTGGGTTTAGACTTCTTTCTAGGATCCTAAGAGCAAAATCCATTTGCACGGTAAATGATTCTTCCTGAGAATTGAACAGAAAATTTGTTTGTATTCAATCTCATGGGCAACATGATTCCTGCCAACGTCAGGCAGGAGAGCTTGGGCGCCTGCACAAATGGGGTCAAGAGGTAGAGAAAGAGAGGGGACCCCTCCTCTTGCATTCTCTCTAGAGCCCCTAAATCCTTCTGCCCTTCTGAATCTGTACTTTGTTTGTGATGGTCACTAATCACCATTTCTAAAATCCCTGTCATTGGGCAACATATGCAATTTTCCAATGTCATCTGTGGTGGAAGACTCCATCAGGGTCACTCAGCGATCCATTCACTCTACCCACTGTAATTAAAATGCCAAAATGCTTCTTATGGTTATTGCTAATGCCTACTCAACGATCTGGGTTTCCAAGATGGAAGCTCTTGCTATCAGAAGGTGCTAAGGAGTACAGGACGGATGCCCAAGGGTAAGTGTTTCATACTCACTTGAGGATGAGGGCCATGGTCTCCTTCCTGTCCTTCCCCTGGAACGGCAGAGATCCCGTGAGCATCTCAAACTGCAGAGCAACACAGAACAGGGAGAGTGAGTGTTCAGACTGACCAGATGTAACAGCAGAGAGCCTGGATGGGCAAAATGCAACCACGTTCATTAATCCACTCCAAATCCTGATGCATGACGCCTAGATGCTGGCCAGCATGCGCTGTGTACGTGAGCGACCAGAACGGCCTCATGGAGCTCACAGTTCAGTGGGGAGGCAGACAAGAGACAAACACCGGAAGTCTGCAGTGGGTAAGAGGGGCTGAGTGTGGTGGAGATGTGAAGGGGGACGTGAAGGGACAGCGGTCAGGCTGCACAGCTCCTATGGGGTTGGTTGAGGACCCGTCCTTCTCTGGTGGGTGCTGTGGAGGGGACCAGGGCGGAATGACTTCAGTCCATCCGTAACATCTGGTGAAAACACGATGGCACCAATAATGTTTCCAATACAGGCTGCCACACACCAGAAATAGTAAGCGGACCTTTGCCAGGATGGGCTCTGTGATAAAGACAGGGTTGAGGGTCAGCCCTCCCCAAGCAGGGATTTCTCTCTCACACAAAAGCCCTGACGACGCGGGCTCAGGAGGCAGGGCCTGCAATCGCACGGCATCCCCACCACAATGTGCACTCCGACTCGTTCGGAAGAAAGCACCTAGGGCAGCAGCCTGTCCTTGAACACAGGACACCGAATCTAACTGAAATGGGCCACAGCATCCGTCCCGGGCCGTGTCTGCGTGTCATTTCAAATTACTGTTGAGCCTTGAATGACACAGGGGTGAACAGCAAGGGTGTGAGGTACCCACTACATACATGGGTCTTCTCCCAATACATACAGTACTATTCTGTAAATGCATTTTCTCTTACGATTTTCTTAATAACCCTTTCTTTTCTCAAGCTTACTTTATTGTAAGAATATGGTATGTGGTACATATCATGTACAAAATGCGGATTAATATACTGTTTATGTTATCGTAAGGCTTCTGGTCAACACCAGGCTATTACCAGTTAATTTTGAGGGGAGTCAAAAGTTACATGTGGATTTTCGACGATCTTCGGGTCAGCGCCCCTTATCCCCATGTTGTTCAAAGGTCTACTGTATAAGAAAACAGCCTCAGTGCAGGACTTTGTATGATCTTATTAAATTTGCCTTAGTTTTGATTTGATGGCGTGTCTCTGTCCCGTTAAAATTTATCCTATAGTATTTTTCCTCTGCATTATGAAAATCTTGGGAAATACATCAAAGTAGAAAGACCAAAACAATCACCCATAACCCCATTATTCAAAGAAAGATGGAATTAACATTTGTTATTTTCTTCTTGAAAATTACTTTCTTGAAGCTGTTTTTTTTTTAAAAACATGGTTTTATATATTCACCTTTCACAGAATAAGATAAAAACTTCCATGCTGATTATAAAATCTTCGTAATACCACTTTATATGTGGATATGCCAAAATATGTTTATTTGTTGTTGGGCACTTAGAGCATTTCCAATTTCCTGCTATTATAAGTAATACTGAAATGTACATAAAAGCTTCCCTAAGATTTGGAGTTATCCTGATGGTGTGCTACCAGGAATGAAATTACAAACTTAATGAAATGAATGTAGTTGAGCCTTTATTAATACTCTTGGTTTGCTTTCTGAAAGTAAAATTTTAAAAGAAATTTAAAAAGTCCTGCCTGTTGTGATGTTTGAAGGCTGTTCTACCATACTAACCACCACCTGCTGTCTGTCCCGTGCTCACGCGTTTGGTGCGGGCGCACAGAACAGACTGCAGGCGACCAGTCAAGATGTAAGTCATAAAAACTGGGAGTAAGAGAGTCCCCGAGAGAATCTGAAAGTGGACAAACAACTAAATTGAAAGGTAGAGTACTCTGGCAGATGAGCTGTCCATCTGATAAAATAGGAGGAAAGTTTATAAGTTGATCTTGGAAGTTAAAATAGGTCTTAAAATAGAATCATATTAGCAAAGAAAATGCTCTTCCTATTTTGGTTCTATCTTTTTTCCCCCTCCCTCCTTTCTTTCTTCAGTCTACTATGAATGAAATTCAATTTCAAGGAAACGCCTTTTAGGCCACGTGAAACCAGAAAGCTATTAGTCATTGCTACAAAAATGGAGCCCATCCTAAAGTCTGTGCATCATGTAACTATCTATTATGAATCAACCAGCAACTTGCACACATCTGCCTAGTGATTACTTCTTAGCTTTGACTATGACTCGCAGGAGCCACATTCTTTGTGTTTCTCTCCCTCCAGCCTGCTTGTCTTCCTCCTACAGCGTTCTTCCCCATGCAACACAGTGGGAAATCCTGAACCGTTTAGGAACACCCAACACGGTGGCGTACGTGGGTGTTCAATGAATGAAGATGATGATGGTGGTGGTGATGATGGCGAAGCTATGTATTTTCTCAACCCACACGTGTCTCTCTGCTTTGGCTTCACTTCCAGCCCCTTTAAGGGTTCCCTTTCTATCACACGGGGACAAAGGAGGTCATTTCGGTATTACTGTTCTCATCAAGAAATTTCTCAGTATTTAAGTATCTCATTAAATCAGGGCATTTCTGATGAGCTTTCCTGGGACATTACATATAGTAGGAGTTTTGGTCTGGTGTTGAACAAGACTGAGACTGGCCAAGGTTTCCAGGGCAAACGAATACAAACCATGGTTTGCCGTGGGGTCTCATAGTCCAGCACAAGTGCTGGGGGTACCCCAAGGGATGCATTCACAAGGGAGCTCCAAGGTCGGCCGTGGAAATGTGCAGAGGGAACCCGAAGAGACTGGGGTATAGCTTCACTGTGAGTGCTTATGAAATTTCCAGGAAGATAAATATTCTGATGTGTCTGGGGACAGTTCTGATGGTCAGGACTGGACAGGTTGGTGGGGTTGGTGCCAGTGACGTTTACTGAGTAGAGGGAGGGACGCCACTTCCCATCCTACAATGCATAGGACAGCCTCCACCCAAAGAGCTGTCCAGCCCCAAACCTCAACAGTTGAAAGCCCTGTCTAAAGGGACATGCAATGAGCCTGAAGCGAGTGGCCAGCCCCGGGGCACTGACACAGGAGGAGCCCCAGCGGTGCTGCGAGCAGTGGAATGAGAAGCTTCTCTGTAAGGGGGACACTTCATAGCAGGGAGCCTACAATTCAAGTTCATTCGGTCGATCGACATTCTTACAAAAGAACTCAAGAGCAAGTTACATCTTAATCTGAAAACAGACAAGCACAAATCCTACAACGAAATGGACCGTTTGAGATGGCAGCAGTCCCCGGGGCCGGGTGCGCAGGGCTGGATTTTGCTCACCAGGTGTATTTATGTTTGTGCAGAGGTGTCAGGGTGCTTGGGGCACAGACGAGTCCCCACCTCACTGTGCACCACCCCTGCTCTGAGCACTCGAAGGTCGATGCTGACCTGCTCCTCTCAGCAGCCTCAGGAGGAAGCCTCGGGTCCTTGTGTCCTTTCCCAGGGGCGGCGCCTGAGCCCTGAGCCAGCGATATGTGTGCATCAGTGTACAAACAATTTACACAGATACTTGTGTGTGAACATCCACACACGTTTAGTGCTGGCAAAGAATGGGAGAAGAATCTCAGGTGGTCTCACAGGTGACCTGGCATTCAGGAGATGTTTCTAAAGCACCCACAAAACACAACCCCAACTCCTCCTGAAGACTGAGTTCCAGACGAGTGTGGAGATGTTAGGGACCTACCATTGCAACGGACACCATCACTACGGCTTACGTTCTTTTCCAGTTACAAGTACCTAACTTCAGACATTCGATTCTGTTCAAGGACAAGGATCTCCACCATGAATGTAGGTGTCTTCATACGGGCTCTCTGGAGGGCACTTGGGGACCATGAGAGGACACGGGTGTAGTTCCTCAGTGGAGAAACGCAAGGGATGGGCAGCAAGCCCCTCCAGGGTGCAGACCGTTCCTCGGGCCCTCCCTCCATGGCTCTGCCCCCTCTTTAACAAAGCCGGGGCAGGGCACCTTGTAAACACAACATGCCCTCAACTGACCTCTTCCCGAAGCCGAGCTCAGACACGACACTAAATGCCACACCAGACCCATCCTTCTATTGCAAATGGCAATTTGGAAGTCATTCCTGGTGTTGCCCAAGGAAGTGCTGAACGCAGGGATCCTGACATCTGGCTGCAAGCTGGTTGCCACTTGGGGCCAAAGGGTTTGGTGGGCAGGACGAAATGAGAATGTGGCTTTAGAACAATGGTGTGATCTTAAACCAATCACCGAAGAGCTTTATTTCCACCTCTGTAACCAGAAAGAACGATATCTTTCCCACGTAACGTGGAGATTTTTTGGTTCAGGTGAAATGCGCGGTGCCTCCCAAACTCGGAGCCACGAGACGTACTCTGTTGTCGTTGACAGCCCCTCCTGCTTCCTGCCGCTGAGCAAAACAGCCGTGCTAGAACCAGCTGCCGTGAGACACCGAATGCGGGGTCCTTTCGACTGAAATGATGCCACCAATTCAAAGCAATGCCCAGTACCCACAGTCCCTGGTGTGTCAACGATGCCAGACGGTAGCTGGAACCAGGTCTCCTTTAGAGAAGCCAAGAACCAACCTCTATGATATTCCCCAAACTCCAGAGCATTCCTATAGCTTCGGGACAAGGAAGGGCAGGGGACCCCAGGTGGAGGTTAGGCTGGGGAGCCCACAGCGGTGTCACCCCCACGGGGCACAGAGCTCACTGAGCACGGCCTCTGCTGTCTGTGATGGGAGTCCACGCAGAAGGTCATGGGGGTGCTGAGGAAATGCCGCGTGCTGGGGAGACACTCCGAGGGGGGAATCACAACAGAAGATGACAGACTCATAACAGCAACTTGTCAAAGTGCAAAGAAGACACAAGACAGAGTCAAGCTAGGGTTCCCCAGGAGACACCTCTGAACCCCACCTCCAGACATGGCCCGGGGGCTCTGCAGCCAGGAAGTGAGGCAAGTGATGTGGTGGCAAGGCAGGTGGCCTGGACACACAGAAGCTGGGCTTGGGACACATGGAGCTGGGCTGGGGACGCACGGGAGCTGGGCTGGGGATGCAGGGAGCTGGGCTGGGGAC